AAAAATTCCGGAAAAATGTCGAAAAAATCTCACGATCTCGGCAAAGCATTCTTCTCTAGCAAGGTAATTTATCTTTTTACATTTGAAATAATTTTTTATTTTTTTTTTTTTATTTTATGTCGGTGCGTCTGGTCGGTGGTACCGGACTTGGCTCGAGCCGTACGGAACGTGATTGCGTAAGGCATGCGGCGCGACCGGTAGGCTTTACCGGTCACCCGCTGAAGGCGTCCGGCCTCCGCCTGCCGGACGCCGCCACTCTTGCGCTTTTTCCGGGGCCAGACGGTCTTAAAACCCGGCCCCACCGGCCGGTCACGAGCCGGCCGAACATAATTTTTTTTAAATTATATTAATAAATGATTAATTAAAATAATTATATTAATAAATATTATAATAAAAATTTTAATAAGAAATTATTCTTAAATAAAAAATTACAATAACTATATTAACTAATATTATAGTAGTAATAAATAAAAATTAAAATAGTTAATTTATTTGATTAAAAATTTATTAATTATCATAAAAATAATAAATTACTAAATATTATTAAATAAAAATATTACCATAATAATAATAATTATAATCTAAAAGAAAAAAATATTACATAAAGTAATAAAGAAAATTATATTAATTATCATCATAATAATAATAAACTAGTCAATATTTTAAAATTAATTAAGTACTATTGTAATAGTTCTTACAATCATTATTAAATTTGAAATTAATTACTAAAAATATAAATATATAATTTATTAAAAGATATATATACATACTAATATATATATATATATATATAATTTATTATTACTATTTAGAAAAAAGAAATATATGTAATTATCGTATTATATAATCAATATATGTAATTATCGTATTATATAAATAAAAAAAATATGTACCAATTATTACTTTAAATTGTTCATTTAGGGTATTCGTATATCTGGACAAGCTGCCAGGGACGACGACGAGGCAAATGAGTGTTATCCAGGTTATGGACCCCGACACACTAGAATTCGGAATGTAGATGTGTCCGTTCGTCGGTAACGGCAGGCGATGATCAAAGAGGCTCGGAGGATACAAACTGGTCAGGTTGGCCAGACAGGCAGTTCGAGAGTGAGATTCCCCGCACCAGTACCGTACCGTCAACAGCCATATTATGTTGATGAGTCGGTAGCCCAGAGGGAGCCTCCTGCAGATGAGTCTGACGAGTACGACTCTTCATATGATCAGGACGTTATTCCTTCTCCTCTTCCCCCACCTACGGCTCTTGCACAGTTTGCGGCTCCTGCACGGCCTACTTCTCCATGAGAGGCTGGGGGCGTTTTGCTAGCACTGGATCCTCAGGTAAATAATTTACATGTTGTTTTCTACCATTAAATATTTTGACTTAATAATAACAAATTATCAGTACTGTTAGTTACATTATGTCATATATATATATATATATATATATATATATTCTATTGTAATGCAGGTACTAGCAAACGATCTAGGACTGAACAGAAGGCAACCTGGGTCGTTAGAGGTGCAGTGCCCAGTGGGCCCATTAATGGGAGTGTCATCCCTAGCTTTCTAGGGCATATAGCCTCCCGAATGTGGAATGGAGAGGTTCGAGGCATACTGAAATGCTAGAACAGACAGCGAGCGCTGGACACTCTGAAGAATTGGCTTGGTGATATGTCTTTCGATGCACAGGATCTGATAGGAAAGACCAAGCTGTCACATATGCTAAACTCCATGCACAGCCACTTGGACACTCCACTCCTTTCTGCATTTGTGGAGCGATGACAGCCAGATAGTAACTCGTCTCACCTGTCTTTTGATGAAATGAGCATCATGCTACACGACGTTCGGGCCATTTGGGGGTTCCTGTGGATGGAGCCATGGTCGTTGAGGACCCGGATACAGATGCCTGTCAGGCGTACTGCATGGAACTACTTTCAGCCACGAAGGCTGAGCTCATTGCATCGCTATGGCAGCGTGGTTCGGTGGCCGAGGTCTCCGTTATGGACAAATTCAGGGGCGAAGGCCAGTTGGCTGTGGATGAGGCTGGTGCTTGGATCTAGGTGATGCTGTCTACCACCTTGTTCGTC